TATTATTTCCGCGTCTGTTTGGGCCTTGCGGTCCAACTAGGCTGGGAGCCTAAAAAACAAACACAGGAGAAAAACAAGAATAACTTTGTTTTTCGTGTCTCGAGCTAGACGATATGACCGGCTTAGTTGTTCATTCGCTCTCATCGAACGCGGTTATTCATTCACGACGTAATATCACACGTACTCAGTCGAAACTCGCGTATACCCGCGCTTCACGATAACGCTTCTCGATCTTTTAAAAACGAGTTTATTTTAAAAACGAATTGTGCTCTCTCGCATCTTACTCTTCATCTTTTCCCTTTCTTTTTCCAACTACAATTTCAAAATTCTTTTTTAAAAATGTTAACCGATAAAGAAAAGATAATGCTGTTTCTTTATCGAAAATTTGGAGACCATATTCGATCATACGAAGAAGTAACTGATCTACACATTCAATGCTGCATATCCTGATTGCAATTTTATTTCTGAATCCACCGTTCAGAAGACAGTGATACGTTTTTACGAAACAGAAACAGTTAAAGACCAAAATTCTTCCAAGCCTCATAACTCTAAATATGCCTAATAAAAAATACTTTATTATAGGTTTTTGGAAAGCCCTTGAAATAAGCTACAAGAATATGTAATAAAAAGTAGGGAGTCCAATTTAAAAAATTCAATTTGACCTTTGTATGACCTTCGCCCTCCACCTAAAGTCAAATTTTTAGCCATCATCAGATACATTTTATTAAGCCCTACAACTTTGCTACTTACATATTTTTCGCTACAGTTGATCCTTTTCGAGATATTTGACCGTTTCCGGACTTTTTGCCAACCCTGTGTGTATATATATATATATATATATATATATATATATATATATACACATACTCGTACACGTGGAAGGTTGATTCGCCGCGCACGATTACCGAAAAAAAATTCGGACGTACGTTTCGCTGGACAATTTTATCTTTCCACGAAGAAACGTTAATATTATACTATGGTAATATTAATATAATATTATAACATCTGTGTTCGCTCCTCACTAGTCTTAAAAACTTTGTCAGTTATTGCAATATTGGATTATTTGGAAAAAAAGTTTGTGCGGCTTTTAAATAAAATTCAAAACATTTTTTGTGTATATATATGGGGTGTTCTCTGTCAAATCGGCCACCCCCCTGCCCATTTCAATTTTTTAGATAAAATTCTTTAAAAGGGCTTAAAATTTTCATTGAAATGTCTAGTTTGCGATAACGTATGGCCTTTTTGAAAATTCAAAATGGCGAACCCAAAATGGCGACTAGAATGCAAACAGACACCGAAAAAACAAATAATATCGTGAATAAACATGCAGGACGTGATGTAGCGGAGGTCTGATCCCTGTGTGAGTGTGTGGGT